CTTCTTATCGTCATTCCAGTGACTCACTTAAACATTCATTTCAGCTCTTGTGAGATCTACTGCGTAGCGCTGTTGAGCCAAATGACACCGATGACAGTTTCGATTTGTACTTGAAACAAGACTACTAAGTGACAAAATGCACATTGACGAGGTGTCTACTAATAACTAGTGGACATCAATGCGCTAACACTACAGAGAAGGACACATAAAGGGTGAGAAATGGTTTGACACTTTGTCATGTAAATCTATAATTGGAAGATTATAGCTTAACTTGAGGCAACTTTTACTGACACGTTTTGCTCCTTTCCTACGGAAGTTAGCACTTATGCTACACGCACTTCTCGCTGTTACGGCAGTGCGCATTGAAACCTCAGCGACTGCAATGGACTGCTTAGAGTAAAAAACTGAGGATAATAAACCTTACTTTGCTTTATGCTGTACTTATTAGAGTGGAGAAGCATTCCTCACCTTACGAGATGTCAACAGGTCACTTAAGCATCTCGCAAGCAATCGCATAAGTGAGCACTGGGTTTCCTTCATGCAAGCAAAACGTGGAATTACTTTTGATGAGATCATTTTCATGCACACACATCAGTAGAACCACATTCCACATTTATAGCTCTCGAGTCACCGTCGTCTTGACAAAATGCGCATGCATTTGTCAGTCAAAGAATAATTGCTATTTCAACAGCTCGGATTGTGATTGGTAAAAAAAATATTATAATGTAGATGTTGTGCTGTCTATGCGAATGTACATAAGTTGTCGTTGTAGGAGAGAGGCGGTTAAATGATTCCAACACGAATTCCATTGTGAGGAATGCGAGGACCCAAGTGCAGAGTAACGTTGGATCGCTGCCTTATTTATGCCCACACTCCTTCTATTCTGTTCAGTATGTCCAGTAAATCCACCCCGACCAAGCCAGGGGTTCAGATGCTTGAAGGTCGGCTGGGAGGTCCTTCAGATGTGGTCACATCACCCAATACAATGTGCATTGGACAAAGAGGAAGTAATAGATTGTAACTACCGATCCACGAAGGCATTGTGCCACTAATCTTTGCCTTAATAAGCTATAAAACCGAAGACTTTTTTGGTGGCTGCAGACTTTAGACAGAACAGGCGGGTGGAGGCACACATTAATTACATTTCATGTGCGTTGCCTCCATCTTCAGATCTCAAAACTTGTAAAATTCAGTATTCATGGCACTCTGCCGTTTGCACTTCATGATGCCTTTGAAATTGTTTGGAAGGGAGGAGAGCCTCCGTGCCGTTATAGCATATCGGTGGAGAGGTTGAAACAAAGACTCATTGCGATTGGTTGAGACATGAATTTGATGCCACATCTTCACTGCCTCGACCTAATTTCAGGCGACATCGTGGACAAATTCAAGAGGTACAATCTCACTTCTTGCTTTAGATAATCATTACTTTTACCTTAAAATCCTAGTAAAAGTTCGAATCTCCTTCCGATACATCGAATCGTTTCATAACAAACCTCACTAGACACAAACAAGGCACTTGTTGATTGTAAATGCTGGAGTAAGTCACTTTAAGACTCCCTTTTTCTGGCCTAAAATGAGACATGTCACCTTCAAGATGCTAAACAATTTTCAAGTACTATTTACCCTGCACCGATTTTAGCGTTGCTTGCGTATTTCCTACTAGTGGTTTTCAAATTAGATTCTTAACTGACATTCCTTAGCAATTATGAATGTCGATTTAACGTGACAAGAACAGTACATTCCCCTTCAACGAAGTTGGCGCCAAGGCGTCTATTGCTGTTTGGAGGGGAATGCTGGCACTTAAAAGTTATGCATCTCATACGGTGCATTTATGGGTCTGTCATTGTCACAAGATCACATGAAGTGTACGGTGTCTCAAGTCCAGCGGACCTAGTAGTAGGAAGATTGATGATTAAGTGAATAAATCCACTTTCCACACTATCATGCATTGACAATACTAATGGGGTGGACGGCACCATTTCCGACCAAACATCGGTCGACAGACACGCACAATTGCAGAGACTGTTCGGTTTGTTCCTTTTACCTAGCATGACATTGTGGGGAAAAAAAGGTATAACGAAAAGTTGGCTAATTACGTCGAAGGCTGCGTACTACATCAAACTAGTTGGATTTTTTATAGCGCCTTCCATAATGCTTAGAAGAGGCGTATGGCAATGGACAAGGTGTTGTGATCAAGATCCGCATCATCTGGACAAACAGTTTTCCAGCTTTAAATCTAGAATATTTTTCTTCTAAAAAACGTAGCCACAATACACAATTTTACCTCTGTTCATCAAATATTGTCTTGGACAGATCAACTAAAACAACATTTTAGGATATTGCACCAATTATAATCCAAGCATTGATGTCCTAATGACAATATGGAGAGGAGAAGGTGTATGCTTGTGACTTGACTGTTCCACGCGATATGCTGACATTGGAGTGAGGAAAAAATCTAGCCGATTTGAAGCATAATGATAGGTGTTGTTGTTCTCGCACATCTTGAATGGATGGTGCTAGGCCCAACAACCGCCACAATACGACCAGTCCCCTTCGCCTAACTTACCGCACTGTCTTATTGCCAGTCAGGCGATGTGAGCTACACCGACAAAAGCTGCACAAATTAAACACTTCTCCATCATCATTCTCGTGGAATGATTTGGCATCTGCTAACTTACCACTGTCCCCACCTCCTCACCAACCACAACTTTGTCAATGAGGCTGCCTGCCGTTTCACTGCGACCTGTCGAAGCACTTCGTCGCACACCTTCCACAATGAACTCATCGCAGCATCCAAGACATGTCATGACGGACGATAAGTGGACTTACGCATCTCTTGCCACTGCATGTAGAACAGCGAGAAAAGTGTCGGCACTGCGGGTAAAAATATACAACACTGACAAAAGCGAGAGGTAGTACAAGTTTCCGATTATACGGATGTGTTCACCATAGGCGGTCATCGGCATTAGCGGTCAAAGCCCAAAAGTACGCACTTCCATGGTGCACATGAATGCACATCATTTGCTTTGTAGGTCCTAAGTCGACACTTTCATAGGCTGCCACACTTCTCCAACAAATGCAGCACAAGTATTCTCTGGATGTGAACTCGCGCTGCGTCGAAGATGCCGACTCAAGTCTGCCTTGTCTTGCTCGCATCTCTAATTATGCCTCATCACTTCGCACTAGCGTTCATTAAGCTGGCTGCCTCCCTTCTTATGCTCTACCCTCGTCAGTGCACGTGTGCAACCATTAGCGAATCCGACCATCGGAGTAAGGGGCAAAACGTATGCAAGTACTGAGTGGCCTCATGCACGCTGTTAGGTGAAATCTGATGATGCTGACGTACTTCTTATTACCCTTCACCCACCACATTGCACCAACTCTTCACGCTTAAGTGGGCACACGCAGCGCTCCCATGCTTGGCGTTGTCGTTTGTTCCTGTCATCCACTTTCTGCCGATTGATAAGTCCCTATTCATTACATGATTAGCCTCGTTGAAGGTCGACTTATTGTATTAGTGAAGCACATTAGGCCTTGTCACGATACAGCTGCAGTAAAAGCATTTGCATAGTGACACCATCAATAACAACAAAACCAACAACAACAAGACCATTTCATTGTGGCAGAGGGTCTGTGCAGAATGAACTCGGTTTTAAAACTAGCAGGATGGAAGAGGATGGGTAGGATTCCACCTGAGACACAAAGTATGCACTTCTATCATTCTCCATTCTAACCATGAACACAAACGCTCGCCACTCTCCACGACCACACAATCCATGCCACACTTTAATGCTTTAAAGGTGGGTCCCTTCATTTCCACCTTCCACGCTTGTCTCACCTTCACTGTTTTAGGTATAAGGAAACCAATATTTGAGGCAACGTATTACGAAGAATACAAGGTGATGACTCTGCTAATGCACAAAACGAAGAGGGTGTGAGGGGCTTTCGGTGGCTACAAGACTCTAGGAAAGACTGGCGGTCTCGCAACACCAAGTGTCTGGCGGTCTGTAGCCAATTTCAATTCTGCAACGCGAGAACGCCAATATAAAGGTAAGAGATCCGTTGGAAACGTTCCCAATCACAGTGCGTGACCTGATGCTGCCCCACACATTCAGCGACCCAGCAGACCCAGTGGAAATCAATTAAATGCATCCAGGTCGGGCTTTCTCTTCATCCCTTTAACCCTCCGACTTTCTCCTCCTAGCTCCCTCTCTCTTCCACACTTCCCTTCTACTCTTCGTACATGCACCAACCACCCACTTTCTCCTTTTCCCACCTCTGCTTCTCCACCGCTTCCACCCATCCTCGTTCTTACCACCATGCAGGCACATGTATCGCCTTCCCACATCAATAGTGACAAATACGCTCATTCCATGTCTTGTAGCTCCTCCTACTTTCCAAAGTATTAGACCGGGCACCATCGACTCCTACACAATTTACATATTATGAGTTCAGCCAGTCCACTGACTACACCATGCTCTGGACTCTCGATGGCAAAGAGCAGTCACCCATCAAACTGCAGCCAAATCGTGTGCATGCCTTCAACTAATTAAAACCAGGACAAACCATTTCTGACTCCATTCCTGCACACATTCACCTAGACTGATGGATAAGCTTGGAACGCATTGGTGACCGCATTGACCCCGTGACAGCGATCATACCACTGCCTGCCTAAGGTCAGTGCCTTTCGCGTAGCCCAGCAAAGACTGTGCTCTTGTACCACCACATTGTTCCAAAGAGAGACTTCAGCTAAATTGCCACCGAAAACCTCAATATATCTTTCCTTACTTTATCTGGCGAAAAATACTATGCTAGTACTTAATCAAGCGTAGGTCGTGGAGCAGATTCGACTATTCCATAATGTCCGGTGTAATCAGCAGATCGACATGAACGTCCACTCTACATTCTTAATTAGCGTCGCAATGGATTACACATAGGCTTTCGCAACTGATAATGTCGGTCACGCGACTGTTCACTCCTTCTACCATGGATGTGGAACCATGTTAAACTTTCTCGTAAATCCGCACACATCCAAGATCCCTCCTCCTGCACACGCTGTTATCAAGTCTACATATGCAGACAGCATAGTGGCAACCGTTCGCATTCTCGCCACCAACACCGCCGCCGCCGCCACCTATATGCCAACGAGGCTGAGCGATTCTCGACCACCAATTGCTACTTTCATCAGGTAAATTTGCTCAGGGGCTACTGACTTCTCACCTGTGCGATGAGTTTGCCAACTTGGTTGGGGTTAGTAGCGAACCGCTCGACGTGTATTTCTGTCCCAATGACACATAATCTGCATTCGAAACCGCACTATATTGTGCGGCTGCGCGCATCCACAGAATAGCAACTCTGCTATACTTATCCAATATTTCCTGCATGCACTGCTTTCATTACCACTGCAGGACATTCGTTTGGGCATTGCTTTAACTGGTGATGTCAGCTTAGACTTAAGACAGAGCCGTAACTAGGGGCTGTACTTGCCCAGACAACTAACTTGATTGCCAGCGTAAAGCTTTTCACTTTCATCTCTTAAGTTTAGCTCATGCTACCAACAGACGCTGATAGAGGCCGGAAATTAACAAAACACATTGATGTATTAAGATGAGTGACTATTTTGGCCGAAGACTTGACATGAACTAAGCGAAGTTGTTAGAAACTTAGCGCTAAGACATACAAGATTCGGTCAATCAGCGCAAGCAGAAAAAGAAGACTTTTAGTTCTATAATGTCATACATGTACGCCTTTTAGTTGGGTGGAAGCTCATCTGAGGCAACGGGACCGCCACCACACACATATTCTTGCATGACAAATAGGGAACCGGATGTGTGTTAATGCAGCATGCATACCAGTGTAGCTTGAGTGATGCCCGCATGAAATGGTCGCATCCAATCTGTCAACCCAAATTTCCAGCAACTCAACTCCTCATCGTCCAGTCGCCAATCGGTGGCAGTGACGAGGAACGTCGCCACACTAACACGGAGTTTCCATGGCTATTTACCTCTCTTTGCTCCACAAAATTGACCGGCCGCTTCCATCTTCTGCCTCTTCTTATCCAATGCCACGACAGCCTCTGTCCCTCCACTCGCGACTGAGCATCACACCGCACCGCACTCCACCGCTCCACATTTTCATCCTCCATGCCTCCCTTTCTACACACAGTCTAACTCCGATTGTAAGGAAGGGAGATTGTACCACTGGTGCATCCACTCTGAGTAGAGGGAATTGGAAGTGGTTGCACAATACTACGGTGCAATCACAGAGATGTCACGAACTAAAAGGATGTGAAGTCGTCAGTCGGTCAGATGGTGGAGCAAGTTTTGACAGTTGGGAGGGTTGTGGGTACAATGAAAGTGTCGCACCACTATTTGCTATTCGAGCAAAGCAGTTTATGGGAACTTAAAAGCTCATCTAAAGCGGACAATTCGCGTTCCCACGCATCCACCGCAAATAACGCTTGGGAGGGGAGAAGCAGAACACTTGTCTATCCTCCAAGTTTTATTGCATTTGGGCATGCAAGTTTAGTGGAAATCACGATAACCTGCACGACACGCTTCCAGTGGCCACTTTGAGGCCAGCAAGCATTGCTCTTTGAAGAGCGCTCTCACGGAGTCCGGGAATGCCCCTCATTCCGCTCACATCCGCCTCAAACGACATTACGTCAGTGACACGAATTATCTCCTCTTCCTCCGCCACCACAATGTTCATGACCACTTGATTTATGAAGTGGTCGTTCACCAGCTTTGCCTCCACTCTACAAAAGAAAACGTGGCAAAGGCGAGAGCTAATCAAAAGCGGAACAGATAAGGGGAGTAGGGTTGAAGAGGAGGAGTAGATGGTGGAATCTTACGCGGACAGAGGGCCTGTGTGACTGGCACAGTCGAATTTCAAATGACGCACCACGACAGTACACTCATATTTGTTGGGGAAGGTCTTTGAGGCTCTGCACAGAGATTGAAAGGATGCCTTGCTACAATCTCCTCGTGCCTTCCGTCCCATGCGATTGAGAGTGAAGACGACGCTTGTGAGCGCCTTTCTCACCAGATGGCTCACGATTCGCGGCATTTCTTTGTCCACATCGACCACTTCAGGGCAATTGTCTTCAAGGAAGGGAGATGACTTGGCATCGTGCTTTTATTGGCAATGTGAGGGCGAGTATGCAGAGTAACCTTACCTATTAGGCCACTGTCTGGAGACAGCTCAATGCCAACATCTTCCTCTCTGGACACACACGCAATGGCGACGCTGACGAAGAGGAGGGCAAGAATAATCAGTTTGCAGCACATGTGCAGGAATGACATGCGGCAGCTCGAATGGACACCTATTTAAGTCGTCAAGTGCTCTCAATTGGCCCACATGTTTGCTTAAACACTCTAAAACGTAACAGAGTTGCATTGGAAAGAACAATTGTCACACTTCTTTGCCTATTCCAATGTTCCACTCAGGTGATGAAAGCTACAAATAAAAATCAATTTAGAGCACTTGACGACTTAAATAGGTGTCCATTCGAGCTGCCGCATGTCATTCCTGCACATGT